ATTGCAATAGGTTGAAAAATCTACATGATGGCATGACCACCATAATAAAAAGGAGAAGATGGAGATGGATTAGACATGTACTGAGAAGAGAACCAGACTCTATTGGGAAGACTGCCCTCCACTGGACACCCGAAGGACGTCGCAAAAGTGGAAGACCCAAAGTGACCTGGAGACGCACGGTAGAGTCTGAAATGAAGTCCTGGAATCATTCGTGGGGAACGCTGACCAAGATGGCCCAAAACAGACAGAGCTGGAGATCCTTTGTTGCAGCCCTAAACGCCAGATGGCGTAATGGGTAGTAAGTAAGTAAGCAAGTAGCTTGAAAAATAAAGTCCTGGTGAACAGACAAAAAATGTTCAAAACTTAAAACTGCTCTCCTGCAAAAGTAGCAAAATGTTGGACACGCTTTTACGTGATTTCACCAACGAAATGTCCTTGAGTAACCCTAGCTTAAAAAACAACAACCCAAGACAAACAAAAATAGGACCCAGCGCAGTGGCGACCAGCAATGGCGTGTTTGAAGTATTTATGTATTTTCAGTATGTATGTATTTGTGTAATTGCATTTGTGTATTTATATACCGTATTTCTGTCTGTATTATAACATTATGTTGCACCATCATTGTAAACCAAATTCCCCATATAAATCAATAAAAGCAAAATTTAATAATGTAAATTTATCAATTTATTGTTTTATCATATGCAAAGGTATCCATATTAAACGTACTTACCATACGGTCCTTTGGCGTCACAAAGACCTTTTAGACTGTTATACTTAGAAGCAAAGAGTCGGGGTATAGAGAGAAAGGGCCAATTGACTTCGTGCTCTAAGCCTTTTTTCTCTTCATCGGTCAAAAAGTAGGAGGTTTCTCCAGTATCACTTGTCTCAAGCCGTACCAGTTTCGCACAGGCAAGGCAGCCCAGAATTTCCCTCACATACCTTGAAAGGTAAAGAATAATATTATGATACGATTTGTATTTTATTCCTTTCAGCTTTCTCTATGTGTGTGTCTGTCTGGGTGTCTATCTGTGTGTCTGTGTGTCAGTCGTCTCTGTCTGTTTGTCTGTCTGTCTATCTGTCTGTACTTCTCCGTCTCTCCGTCTCTCTCTCTCTCTCTCTCTCTCTCTCTCTCTCTCTCTCTCTCTCTCTCTCTCTCTTTAAATCTTTCATTAACTTTCTTGCAATTATAAGGGAGTGTAAGTATTTCTAGCCTTCTCTCTTACCACCCTCCTCTCTGAGCAAGTGTGTGTGTGTGTGTGTGTGTGTGTGTGTGTGTGTGTGTGTGTGTGTGTGTGTGTGTGTGTGTGTGTGTGTGTGTGTGAGCGTGTATGTGTGTGAATGTGGGTGATAGTGTCTGTGAGTGGGTTTTTGTGTGTGATCTAAACTTATCTAAACTAAAAAAAAAACGATTCAAATTTCCTGTCATTCTTTTCTTCTGACCTAACAAAACGAAGAAAAATTCTGTGAGTTTACTCTCTCGACTTATTGATTTCAGTAAAGGGAGGTAGATCTAGACTCTTTGGAGTGATCTGTATGATTCAAAAGAGATGAAAACACCAGTAGAGGAACTAATAACTTGAAAATAGACTGAAACTTTTGGAATAGCACCAACTCTTTCTTTACCAAAGAAAATGATACAGGACAGTTCGTCATCGGATGCAAATTCCATGTTTCCGGAGTATCGATGTGAACTGATCATCAAACGCATCGGCTTTAAATTTTGTTAAAGGCGTTTATTTCATCAATGCCCACAGCACGACATTAATTTGTAGTTGGTTGAGGCTTACTTCGGGATAACACATAACATACGATTTCGACACTTGGAAAAGTGTTGGAGGTATTGCTGGACGGTGGCCTCTTCCAGGTTGTATGTTCTATTTTGTACATTTTCAGGCCAATGCAAGGTACAGCTATAACATCAGTGACACCCTCTACTTCCAATTATTAGGAATTAGGCAAACTCGCCACCCAAGCTTTGCTTTCTCGATGTATTTCGGAAATTTGTAGACTGTCACCTTCTGATCACCAGGCTGATTTCTCTCCAGATCTACAATTATCGTACACAGAACATTTCTTTCCATGTTTACTAGTAAAGTGTAGCCTAGTTCAAATTACTTTCATTCTAAGAACTCATATTCTTATCTACTGTTTTCATCTTTCACAGCAGAATTTGTACTGCATCGTGTTGTAATAGAAAAGAAAATACGCGAAACAACAGAAAATCACATGTACAATAAGTCCTGATAG